CTAGTGCAGGTTACCAAAATGTAAAAAATGGCTCACCTTAGACTACTTTACCCAGCCTAATCGTTATTTCATATTTGCGGCACATTCTGAGTCGGCCTCATGAGATCAAACGTACAGACAAGTTAGCGCATGGTGACGAACCGTAAACTCTTCCAGGGTAAAGGATACCGGCTATTTTGATAGCCTATAGAAAAAGAATGCGGGCTTCGCCCTCTGTACATCAAATTTTTCGTACATTTTAGAACTATGCGCCTGTAGAATGCAACGTGACCAAATCAGGTACGAGTCAAAGAAACGCTGGCGCGAAAAGGGCTGTCATGACTAAGCACTGTACGATTTGGAATATGTCCAGATTCGACTGAAGGTATGATGCAACTCTGGGGTCGGTTCAGCTAAAACCCATTCCGATCGCAACACCTTAACAAGATGAGTTTCTTAGTCACCTAGCCCACTTACACATCTGTGCAAGCCATCTGCTTTGTTTATTACGCAGTTATATGAAGCAGGACGACTCCCCGCACGTTTCTCACATGTTTTGCCGCAACTCGATGGTCCGACGCTTTGACGAACTTGGTCACGAGACCCACATGTCAATAAGTCGCATCTTTTCTCCGGGAAACTACTTCCCGCAGCGATGCGAGACCGTTTCTGCCATTCTTGTGCGGTGTGGTCAGTCGGAGCCTATGTCGGACCTTGGTCTGGCTTGCAGGAGATTTAAAGCGGTTGTCTACTAATCTTTCCGCTATATGCCGTGAATATAGTAAGATTTCATAGGAGTATTGTATTTACGCTGTCAAAAAGTGAATGCAGCCAATGTAAGACGGGCAATACTCAATTTATCGCAAATTAGGTTATAATAATTCGACCGCGTTCTTCTCATGTCTGTCTAAAAAAATGAGAAGTTTTACGTTTAATAAGATGTGATAATCCACCCACTGGTGTTTCTCAAAAGGTGTAAAAGCTTACCACGACAGCTGAGGACATGGCTCCAAACATAACTGTCTTAACTATTGCGTAGCAAAGCATATTTCGTACATCACTAAGCTCGCCCGGCCGTCACAAAGCCTCACGAAGCACATTTCGAGTTTCACTGAGTTTGTATCTCACAAAGCTTCATTTGTCACGCGATGGCAGAAAGATTCAAAAGCGCTGGAACCATGTACTCAGCTGTCTGTGATAAAGTTTTCCCTGTTTTAATAAGGAAGTGGTCGAAACATAGTATTCAGTGATAAATAACAAATATATTCATGTTCGGCACGACCACGAAGAGACTGCGGTGAAATGATCATAACAAAAGTCAAGTGTGTGTGAGCAATTTGATCATCATTTATAGTGGGGAGTACATACAGACGAGGTAACAAGAACTAGTACATAGCTTCTTACAGCACTTAACCATTATCGCCAGGCTCTGCCGGGCAGATATTGCTCGCGTGATAGCATCACTTGTCCGTACATATTTTGCCGTCTGAGCGCAACAGCTGCGATGGGAACAAGAACATATTGAGAAAAAAAAACATTCGAAATCCCCGGCACGAGTCATCACTGCTGGTCTAGCGACATACGATTATGAGTCGCAAAGTAAAAATAATCTGGACTCACTACACATTGAAGAAATGGTAGAGAACTATGACAAGAGACAATAGTACTATCATTATGAATAAAACGACAAAGACCAAAATGTCCGATAGTTTAGTCGATCATTTCTCGAGGACTGTCAACATCTACATCAACTGATAAAACTAGGTAAAACGGTTAGATGCACTTGCCTCTTGTGGGGTCAGAAAGCGGTAAGGAACCAATTTCATTCCGGGGCTCGAAGGGGCGAAACACGCTCCCACAGAATGTGCAAAGATTCCTCGTCCATTTCGACGCCCAAGGCCAATGTGAAGAGATTGATCATTAATAAACGACACCCTTAAAACGAAATGCATGCGATTGAGATTCTGCTCTGTGTGGCCGTGAGATATTCATGTAACGTGAAATGCCCACGGGTTGTTCTGCTAATTCGCTGTAAAGCTATGATAAACTAGTGGAGGCGACGATAGCCACCCAGAGCGGAGCGTCTCGAGATGCCGTGAAATGCGATATGATGCTCCTTGTAGCAACACTAAAACAAGAAGAAACGTAGCGTCTAGAATGTAGTCATTTACCATGCGTACGTGCGGCTGGTCTAGCTCGAAGAATCAGAACCAAAACGGAACGTGAGATGCATCATACCAAGATAGGTCGTCGTGAGTTTACGGAACCGTTTTGTTCATGTCGCGTTTGCGCGAGGATTAGCATTGATACAATGTGCCATAAATTCCTTAGGAATATGGGCACTTGTAAAGGCAAGGAGCCCTATTTTTCCGTACATCCACCACCTTTGCAGTACCTGCGAGAGGACCGTCTATACAAGCGTGAAATATAGCCTCAAACTTTGACATGTCTGGAAGCCTGCTAAGACAGTCAACATTTTCTAGTGTCTGTGTTAGTTTTAGCTGAATAATAACACTGCTCTTTTTCATCAAAGTGACCATATAACGCCGCCATAACGCCGGAGACTGACGCTGGAGAATGCACGGGCCGCGCACCGTCGACATTTGGTGCTCATAGGCACAAGGATAAAAACGAACGCGTAGCGGAAAGTAATATGTTTGAGTGCTTCTTGTTCTTAATAAATACGTTTCGCAGGTAAATCCCTTCGCATACTTTACCTGTAACATTTTCAGAGTTATACTCTAAACAAATTAACAGCGACGACACGACAAACATTTTACGCAATGTTTGGAGTATCTGCTGTTCGTGTTAGTGTAACTGCTAATCCGATCAAAGAAACAAGATGGAAACTGCGCGAGTGAAAAACGGCCAATAATACCACTTTTTCGTAACAAGGAATATATAAAGCATCCGAAATTCCTACTTTTTGGTGCGCAGTGGTTTCCCCCGCCTGAGGCTGCTACCTAGTGCTAGCAGCAGCAGCCGACGCCGTCCAGCATATGGAAACTGCAATGCCGGGAGTTTGCATTCTTGCAATTCAAGAATGTGCACGCAGATTCGTATCACTTTTACCGTCCGATTCTGAAAAGGACACACATCCCGAGCGAACAGGGCTATGAACAGGCTATGTGGTTAACGCGTATCAGCTATCAGTTGCCCCTTTGTGTTGTATTATATCGACGATATGTGATGGCATGCTTAGATATGATGCCTGAAACTCCTATGATTGAACGAGCTCATTTTGCGCTGTGAATGCAATACAAAAGTTTGAATCTAATTGGGATTAGAACCAGAACCTGTAGATGACCGATGGCTTCGTCTTTTCTGAGGTGTCTAATTGCGAATCCCACGGTACCGTCTGAGCTTGAACGTCAGAAATACAAAAATGACGCAATCGAAAAACAATCAAAATGACCATGATTGAAAATTGATACCCGCGATACCAGTCTTGAAACACAAAGCGCACGAGCCACCAAAATTTTATGAGCACATCTTACATTGTTCCGTTACATGATAACGCTCCCGAACCTAGCGTCAATCTGCCTCTCGATACCGCCTGCATTTTATCGACTGATTCAATGATTATACTGAACGTGAATGAGTTTGATTCGGAAAATCTTGATGCTCGCGGGTTGTACCAAAAACGTTTACGAAATATTGCATTTCATTAATATTTGCTTGCTTAGTCTATGACAACATGGTAGCGTGAAGCAAATCACAAGTAAATCGAATGAATCTCAGCTGAAGCAAATGCTCGCAAGTCTGCTTTGGCCACATTCTGAGCACTGCGACAGCAAAACGACCTAGGCTCAACTCACGCATACATAAAAGCGGAGGAAGCAGTGAGTGCATGTCCCGTGTTGTGGCAAACCACAACTCTGCTAGGCAAATTTGCCGCAAAAACAAATTAAGAGTCATGTGTCATGCCTATGTAGGTTCAGGTTTTAATGTTTAGTTTTAAGTAGTTTACATTATCATCCGGTCTCTCACCTTCGCGAGTGCGGCTGTTTCATAGCATCTTGGCAAAAAAATCAACAATACACTTTAGCATGTCATGAATGATCAACACTCGGCACTGCTACATGACGTCAGTGACGAACATCCAGCATCTGTTTCTATCGACTCCTTGGAGAAGACGAATGGAGTAAAAGGCGATAATACAGCAGATAGCCTAAACCAGACGGATGAGAGCAAGGACCCGTCGCCGAGTTTCGTTCACGTTTTGTCCTCAAGTCTCGTGGATTCTGATGGCTCACCAAGTTCACATTCGATATTTCAAAATGGCGAGCATGTGAAGCTTGAAGCATCAACCTCAGCAACTGTATTCGTTTGTCCGAAAAATGATGTCCCATTGTGTCCTAAAAACAGCATTACAGATGGAAGAGTAGATGAAACAGCTGCGGACGGCCCATCGCTTTGCGAGAGAAGTGAGTTTGCATTCCACGACCGAGAAGTAGTTCACACACGTCCAGAGGAATGCACCATCGCCTTACTACCATGTCCGACCATCACATCGGAAGCAAGGGCTGCAAGGAGCCGCACCAGGTGTAAGCAACATTCCAAAATACCCATATCTGTGCGGAGCACGTCGTCAACAAGGGCACCTAGCCCGCCAAACCGTCCCGGAGATGGACCCACGTGTCCTCCAGACCGTCCCGCGCCGGAGGCGGACCGGACCGCCGCCGGACCGGCCGGACCGGGCGCCCCGGCGCTGTGCGCCTCGCGCCGCCACTCGCACCACACCCTGGAGCGGCCGACGAAGGACTTCGTGCGGCTCAACAGGCGCGGCGAGTTCCGGCGCACAAGAACGTATCACTCGCTCCACCTGGAGCGACGCGCCGGCGGGGCTGGGCTCGGGACTGAGACGGGTGGCGCGGCGCCCCGGCTGACGGAGCCGGGGGGAGCCGGAGCCGCCGGAGCCGTCGGAGCCGCCGGAGCAGCCGAAGCCACCGGCTCGGCCCCGCCGACCGATGAGGAGCCGAGCTCGCCGCGCAGCCCGCGCTCGTCGCCGGCCGCGGCCAGCTCGGGTGGCAGCCGGCGCTGCCGTGCCAGCCGTATCCCGGTGCGGACCGGGGGCCGACCGAAGCCCGGCCGGCGAGAGGAGTTTCATGAGTCGCGCCTGAGCTACGACAGCTCCGACTGTCAGCTGGACGTGCCCCGGCTGCCGCTGCCGCTCTCGCAGCTATCGCTGATCGACGTCAACGATAACCGGGCCCTGGTGAGAGCCTGAGAGCAGTGTGGGCTAGCACCCTTCGAAACCAAGACGACGTGAGCTTACACGAAGTTCACCTATTTCGTCCCTTCTCACCCCACCGTCTATGTGTACCGTTGCAAACTGTCTCAGAAAGATATCATATTAATGTGTTTGCAGCATGCTTAAAATGAAATTCCAAAATACAGCCTCAGTAGATTGTGGCAACGCACAGCCTACTGGTGATAAGAATGAATGAGAAAATGTCGCAAACAGGTATTTTAAGAGATCCGATACATTGATTTGATAGTACAGCAGTGTGCAAGCCTGACTACTCCGGCCACGACAATTGTTGGTGAAATGAGCCTTTTACGGCAGTTGTGTAATTATGCTGTCACGAGACCGTCGCATTTCAGCTTTTGGACGCCAGTGCGCCCTCCCTGCTCGAGCACGAGTATCATGGCAGCACCGACCATCGAAACGACCTGATTGTTCTCGAGGATAACACATCATCTCTTTCCCTGCAGGTCAGAAAAATTCGCAATCTACGCGTAGAGACGGGTGTTTGCGAGGGAAACAGTAAAATGAATGGCTTGAATTGATAGCAAAATTAGGCGGAAACTTTAGAAAAACACTTGATACGTTTGAAATTGAATCACTCTGTTCACTAACAAAATACTTCCCGCTAGAAGATTGCCTAAGACAGCTGTAACTTGCAGAAAATGCCTGAAGGTTTGTTGCAACGAAAATTGTTAGTCAACACTCATTTGGCCGGCATGGAAGCAGCCGGCCCGCTGGGCTAACGCCTCGTTCGCGAACAGATGCCAAGCCCGCGCGTGGCCAGAGCGCCGCCCGAGCGAGTACAGGTCCCGCCGCGTCACGTCGAGTACACGCCCAACCTGAAGCCCTACCCGCGCCACTACATCCGCCTCGGCCGGCTCGGACCCGACCCGCACACCGTCCGCCAGAGGGTGAGGCGCTGCAGGATAACGTGGCAGGGCCCTGTGTGAGGGCGAAGAGGAACTGAAGAACAGATGTTAACACGCGCCCGGGTGGTCGATTGAATACCCTTTGCTCCGGTGGGGGCCAATTTGACCCTCCGAGAACTCCAAACTACGATAGTTAGAAACACCAAATTCGCAGGGTGGGTTGGCCTTTGCGTGAACTCGCATCAAAATTTCAGGTTCTTACGTCATAGCCTTGAGGTTGAATGAAGCCAAATAGGGTTAAACTCTAGATTGGTGCCTTAAGTGTCCATTACGTTCTCACGCAACCGCCGTGAAGCTAGACAACTGTTCCAAGCAAAATAGCAATGGTCTTCAGTGAAGGTCAGTGTCCTTGTTTGACCTTTACAACGTCAAGGCGACACAATACCTACGACCATTTTGTCATTCGAATAAGTACCAGAGATTACGATAGGCGGTGTGTTCCTGAAAAGAAATTGTTGACCCGAGCCAATTTAGGTCACTGACCTATTCTGACATTTAAAAAGTCCATGGATTATGCCTGTTGCGGTCTCCACTATTAACCAATTCGAAATGAGCACCAGAACCTACCTCATACACCAAGTTCTCGCGTAAAAAAGCAGGAGTTTTGACCTCAGTCTGACCTTTATCCCTGGCCCTAGGTCAATGCAATTGGCTGTAATGTTAAGCTCAATTGGTTTATTGCTGAAGAAGCTGTCTCAGACGTGTATCGCTTTGTCTAACACACCGTTCTGTAGCACACTGAACGATTCCCTAGAAATGCCCTTCGCTGACGGCCATCCTCTGACTTTGACCTACCATAGGTCAGCAACCTAACAAGGCAGATCTAATTTTTACATAAAAGATCCGCTCTTCAGTTTTCAACAGCTAGCAAAGTTTGACGCGGACGCGCCACGCCGTTCGGAAATCATTCTGGAAAAACCTTCGGGGGTCGATTTGACCCCAAATTTGACCCACCCAAGCGCATGTTAAGGTGCCGAGGAGGACGGAGAGCAACTGCAGACCGGAGGGTAGCGTGCTGCAGGATGGGACGAGCTTAAGCAGGGAGTGTTACCGTTACTTATAAACCTCGCACAAGTAGTTGTTCTACATTTAATTAGGCTCCACGCGATCCTGCCATTTCGAATGCCCATGATGGGGTAGTTCTCCATCACTACAAAGTAATAGGCGGCTAGTAACCCACGGCATGCGCGCAATTTTCAGCCCAAAATGCTGACCATCATCGCTGTCCTCTTTTCGATAACGCCACCGCACCCGTCCAACGCACGCCCTGTTTTGCCGCGCGTTCCAGCAAGACAAGGTGCGACGGCAGCAGGCGTACGCCGAGCAGGTGGCGCGGAAGAACCGGTCGACAGTGCGCCAGAAGGGGCACCTGTATTCGCAGCCGCCGCCAGCCGCCAGCCAGTCCTCCCACCACAAGGTGGGCGTGCGGCGACCTCTGGATACCGGAGTGCAGGCACGGCCAGGTGTCGGCACCGGTACCGGTACAGGGTATCAAGGGTGGGTGGGACTCATCTCGACCGGTGGGGTGGCTCGGCGCCATTGCAGAGGAGCCCATGCGAAATGCAAAGGCTAAAAGCGCGGCGAACGCACAACTTTCTCGGAAAATTATTACCACACGAACGCTACGTGATGAAGTGAGGCTGACAAATACATAAAATCGACAACTGACCATGCATTATGCAGCGCACAATCATTCATAAAGCATCACTGTTCTACAGCAGTCACATCAGGCAGTCTTAACGCCGATGATGTGAGTTTCCCATTACAGATGGTGAAGTACGCAAAGACCGTGCCGAAGCCCAAGGTGAAGCCGCAGTCAGCGTCAGCGAGACGAGCGTCGCCGGAGGTACGGCCGGCGACGAGAACAGTCCGATCCACTCTCTCTCTCTCTCTCTCTCTCTCTCTCTCTCTCTCTCTCTCTCTCTCTCTCTCTCTCTCTCTCTCTCTCTCTCTCTCTCTCTCTCTCTCTCTCTCTCTCTCGCTCTCTCTCTCCCGCTCGCTCTCTCGCTCTCTCTCTCTCGCTCTCTTCGCTCTCTCTCTCTATCTCTCTCTCTCTCTCTCTCTCTCTCTCTCTCTCTCTCTCTCTCTCTCCTCTCTCTTCTCGCTCTCTCTCTCTCGCTCTCGCTCTCGCTCTCTCGCTCTCTCTCTCTCTCTCTCGCTCTCTCTCTCTCTCGCTCTCTCGCTCTCTCTCTCCCTATCGCTCTCCCTCTCGCTCTCTTCTCTCTCTCTCTCTCACTCTTTCTCTCGCTCTCTTATCTTTTAACGGTCAAAAAACCGCATGTGAAATGATCCATAGACCATTTCATTCCGGCTGATGGCCCGAAACCCTTCTACGTGCTTCTCAGGTATCACCGATGTCCAAGATCCGTCAGCTGTTGGCAGAGAGCGGCTTCACGAATCCCGACGCGGCGGCCGACAACCAATCAGCAACCGGAACGGACAGCAGCCCGACGCGCGCCGTATGTCCGATCTCCAAGCCGCCGCCGGCTGGTCGGTCCGGCGCGACCCGGCGCTCCGGTGGCTGCGTGACGAAGACTTCCACAGTCCCGCGGTCCGGCCGGGGCCTTGGGTTCGGTGGCAGCATCGCCGAGGCTCCCGCGATGCTGCAGTCCGGCGCGGCGCGGTGGCCCGCGCCCGGTCTAGCCGAGGCCCGGTCCGAGCCCCGCCGGCCGGCGCCTGCAGCGGGCGGGCGGCCCGCGGCCGCGCCGGCCGCCCTCTGGCGCCGCGTCTGCGGGCCAGGCGCGGGTCAGCTGCTCGCTGTCTCGGCTGCGCTCGCTGACCGAGCGTCTGGTGGCCGCCGCGCCGGCGCGCGCCTCCACCAGCGACGAGCTGCGCCGCGACGACTCGCGCACCACGCTGAGCGCCGCCTCGGACGGCGAGAGCGACTACTCGGCCGACTCGCTGACCGAGGCCGGCCGGCCGCCGGTCGTCTCGCTCGGTCGGCGGCGCGACGAGACCTCACCGCGCGGCCGCGGCCTGTTCCCGCCGCCGCGCGGCGCGCCCGCCTGTCGTCGGCCGGCGCGCCGCTGCTCACGCGGCGTCGGGCCGGGCCCCACCATCAGGCCCGACCGTGCCGGCGCCGCGCACCGGCCCTCCGTCGATGACGTGTTCTACGACACACGGGAGTGGTCAGACGGCGGCGCGAGCGCGCACGGCGAGGAGGCCGCCCAGCGCCGGCCGCTGGTGACGCGGGGCACGCAGTCGACGCCGCACGACGCGGGCGTGGCGCACAAAGACCCGCTGGTGGTGGACATTGGGCTGCCACAGGGCGGCGGCCGCGCGCCGCGGGCCTCCTCGCGGTCGCGGCTGCGTGGCCTCTCGCCCGACTCGCTGACTGGCTCACCACGCGACGCCGACCGCCGAGGCCGCGTCGACGAGCTGGCGTGCCAGGCAGAGGCGATTCAGCGGCTGCGTGAGCGGCACCTGCGTGACAAGCGGCGCGTGGACGAGCTGCTGACGGGATCGCTCACCCGGCTGTAGCGCGGCGCGGCTGCAATACACGGCCGCCGAGAGGTGAAGCGCAGCACGGCTCTGTGACACGAGTTTCGAGACGAGACTGAGCGAGAGGCTGCGCCCTGGCCGGCTAGCAGAGTGTCACTGCCGCGATGCACTATGAAAGGCCTGCTCGGATGAAGATACCGTACTGCCTGCCACGGCCTTGCCGAAGGGCGCTTCAAGTGCGCCCGGCCCATTGGTCTCGCTGTTAGTCTCTGCTCTCATCACTCTCTCACCGGCTGTGCTCGCAGTCTCCCACTGGGCCGGGCTCACTGGGCCGGGCTCAGTGCCACGCGGCCGTTCATTAGCACATTGTATTTGGGGACGTGCCACACTGCCGACTGACCCGCTGTTTCTCTCTCTCTCTCTCCCTCTTCCTCACACAGTGAGCGTTCCACGAGCGGTGTGCGCGCAGGCAGTATGACAACTGCGGTAACAATCAGACAGATCCCAGCAATGCAATCATTGCCTCAAAACGACTAGTTCATGTAGACCTCAGCATCGTTTCCGATACGACAGCTCCAAGTTCACAGGAGTCATGACTGCGACGCGGTGCCGACCGTCGTCCGACACGGCACGACTCACTGCAAAACGCATGTCACACGCGCATGCAAGCACGCACGCACGCAAACACACACGCACACCGGCACAGCCCGTCATGCAGCTCAGGGACATGGTGGCGCACGGCTACGGCCAGCCGTGGCGCCCACAGTGCCAGCGCCCGACTGTCGGGCCCTACAGACCAGCCGTCGTGCCCACAGTGCCAGCGCCCGACTGTCGGGCCCTACAGACCAGCCGTCGTGCCCACAGTGCCAGCGCCCGACTGTCGGGCCCTACAGACCAGCCGTCGTGCCCACAGTGCCAGCGCCCGACTGTCGGGCCCTACAGACCAGTCGTCGTGCCCACAGTGCCAGCGCCAGACTGTCGGGCCCTACAGGCCAGCCGTGGCGCCCACAGTGCCAGCGCCCGACTGTCGGGCCCTACAGACCAGCCGTGGTGCCCACAGTGCCAGCGCCCGACTGCCAGGCCCTACAGGCCAGCCGTGGCGCCCACAGTGCCAGCGCCAGACTGTCGGGCCCTACAGGCCAGCCGTGGCGCCCACAGTGCCAGCGCCCGACTGTCGGGCCCTACAGACCAGCCGTGGTGCCCACAGTGCCAGCGCCCGACTGTCAGGCCCTACAGACCAGCCGTGGTGCCCACGGTGCCAGAGCCCGACCGTCGGGCCCCGCAGATGAGCCTCTCGCATCACGCGGTCGGCGTCCGGTGCGACTGATAATGTCCCTGAGATATCACGAGCCACGCGTCTCTGCCGGATGGGTCCCCGAGATTGCACTGTCACGCTGCCCAACGGGAGCGAGCGGCCGGGCGGCGCTTCTCCAGTCGGGCTTCTCCTCGCTGAGCCATCTCCCCCGAGAGAGAGTACTGCTTCGCGAAGGCAGGCGCCGCTACAAACGCGCTCTGCACGCATCAAAGTTGGGTGGCAGCGTTCAGATGACTCCGTGAGATCTCCGGCCAGGCACACGAAAGGCAGCTGCTTTCCAGACCCAGTGGGTCTCGGTACACAGGAGGAGGCTCTGCGCGCCCTGGCCACGGCTCCATAGCTCCATGGTGGTGATACCAGAGGAGACTGCGGTCCCATGCGATGTAGCAAGCAGCTACGAAACCTGTCCGACAAACGAATCATATTCCACTCGCGACAACACGCAACACTGCATCAGTACGTAGAACAGCAATAGATCAACTGCACTGAGCTCCGTGAGAAAAATGACTGATGAAAGCATGAGCATAAAATGAATTATACGCTTTCGATGTCATTATGCTCCGGCCAGACTTTAAAAAAAGACTTTCAGCTTATGCCAATATTCATGATCACCATTGGTCTTCAACAACTCAACAACAGTTCCATATCCGGGCGACATCTCTGGATACTTATCTCCAGTAGCAGACAAACACATCAACAGTCAAATCAGAGAGGTGTCCACACATTTACGCCATGTGTGTCAAAATATTCGCAGGTTCTGCTTAAATCCTAATAAAATAGGCATCCATGTGTGTTTCTGTGCTTCAGTAACTAAGGCAACATTTATCGATTGTTTCAGATCAAGCAATGGTCGAAATGTGTTCATATCTGCACAAAGATTTGCTCCTCTATTTAGAACACCAAGAGAAAGCACATGGATTCACAACGACGGTCCGTTTTGCGCAGGGACACACGCAGGATTTCATCATAGAAAGGAACAACTCAAAATGTTCCACTGCACCGAAGAACACATTTTGACGTACGAAATTTCTGGCACTGCGCATGGTAGCATCGCGTGTTTTCAATCCACGTAGTAGCTACCTCATTTTTTCAGCATCTATTCACAGGCATACATGTGAAAGTTCAATTAGGGAGAGGGGAAAGTGTTTCCGCTGCCCTCCCCCACCCTCCCTTAAATGCGGCCCAAGTTTTGCGCTTAGTCGCATAATTTGAACGAAAGGGGTGATCAGGGCCCTTTACCAGCCATCGTCCAAAGGATTCCACCGCGTCCAGAATCGGCGCGTTCCGAGGCATCGGCCATCAGCCAGCGTGCCGCCAGCGAGCTGGTCGCCGCCGGTTGGTTACAGCCGTTACCGTATTCAGTGCCTGAGCGCCCAGTTGGTCGGCTGGTTGTAGCCGAGCAGCAGCGGACAGTGGAGCAGCAGCGAGGCGGCGCCCGGCTCCATCTGGCCAGACACGAGTGCCCACTGGCTCAGCCACGACACCATCTGATCGCGCGGCAGATTCTGCGGATTCAGGCCGCGCAGGAAGCACGCCTGCCCGGCACGGCAGGCCACGCCAGGTCACCGAAGGTCACGGCAAGTCACGGCTGGTCATGCCAGGTCACATCAGGTCACGACAGGTCACAACAGGTCACGGCACATTGCGAAGGATCATGGAAAGTCACGGCAGGTCACGGCAGGTCACGCCAGGTCACAACAAGTCATGGTGCGTTACGTCAGCGTGCGGCGGAACATCAGTCGCAGTCACACAACCGGCTATACGGGACCGAGGGCCACTATGCGTGGGACCACCTGGTGAGATCTGAACGTGAAGGGATATGACGCGAGCCGTGCGGCGTCAGTGGACGGTGTTTCACTCGCGTGAGTGAGCTTCCGATCAGATATCATCCCAGTATTGGCCAGACAACGCCGCTGGGGTGGACTGCATGTATGGCGGATGGCGGATGACCTGAAAGCCGGCGACCACCCTGACTTCACTGGGTGCCGACAAGCCAATAGTGACGGTGTCAGGCGCAATGACTGCGTCCGGGCGTGTGGCGCACCCAGAAGCGGGGAACATTTTTCAAAGAATGCCGTTGCCATTCCCCACAGCAGCAAGGGAATCTGGAGAAGGCCTTCTTCGTATAATATTGAGCAGCCCATGAGTGTGACCAGAGCGGCGCACATCCCGTAGGCCCCCAGAAAGCGCATTCTCTGTTGGACCTCTGTCAGTGGCGACTCACGTAGTAGAGCTCCTCCAGGGACATGTCGGTGACACCCTCCCTCGCCATGGCAGGCGTCCATATGCCGCAGCAGCTCGCCATGTTCGCGCAGCGAGCGCCGTCGCCGGAGGGTGAGCACACTGAGGCCGTGCAGCTTCAGCAGACGTCGCTGCAAGAGCGGCGCAGTAGCTGAGGATTAGGCTCGATGCGCCGGCCAGGCCTCGTACTCTACAAATGCTAGACTTCGGCGCAGAGGTGCGCATGGGAGACTGCAACTAACGCTGAACATGGCCGACCCAGCTCTTTACGGCTCACTCAGTGCCCCCGGGCTGGTCAAGGTGACATGCTTTGTCCCCGCTTCTGTCCAGAGGAATGATGACTACGGCATTCCAGACAAAACAAAACTCACTACCCATGAAAACACCCGGCATCCCTGACCTGGCACAGCGACGTCTCCTGCCTTCCCCCTTGCCCAGTGTCCCTTCGCCCCCGTGACCCGGCCCTCCTCTCCCCTGTCCAGTGCCTGCCCGCTCCCGTGACCCGGCCCTGCTCCCCCTGGCCGCCGCGGCCGGCGTGCGCCACTCACCACCTGGACGGCGCTGAGTCGCTCCAGACTGAACGGGCCGCCGTCGAAGGCCGGCGTGCGCCACTCACCACCTGGACGGCGCTGAGTCGCTCCAGACTGAACGGGCCGCCGTCGAAGGCCGGCGTGCGCCACTCACCACCTGGACGGCGCTGAGTCGCTCCAGACTGAACGGGCCGCCGTCGAAGGCCGGCGTGCGCCACTCACCACCTGGACGGCGCTGAGTCGCTCCAGACTGAACGGGCCGCCGTCGAAGGCCGGCCGCAGCGCCAGCACGTCGGCCGGCGCCGGGTGCAGGCCCGAGCCCAGCAGCGAGAGCACGCGCGCCAGCGAGCGGCGCGTCTCGCCGGCCGGCACCAGCCGCCACCTGCGGCGGCGCGACGCTCGGGTGACGGCCGGCCAGGGCGCCACGAGCCGCCCCCGCCGCCCGCTGCCGACGGCGGCGGCCAGCAGCAGCGGCGCGCTGAACAGTGATCGTCAGCATTAAATAGCTTAGGAAAGCCCACCTTCGTCTCAACGCATTTGGCTTAGTATACGTATATCAATTTAGTATACGTGATGGAAACAGCCCGTCCCTGGTTTATTCTCAAGGTGTCAGCAATTCTCAAAAGCCCATACAAACCCACAGGTGTGTATACGTAATGTCACAATTACGGCCACAGATCCAACACCCTGGTCAGCTACACATAATCTGCATCCAACAGTTAGCTTACTGGATCATGCTTGAAATCTCAGATTCCCGGGCCTCGATAACGTCATGGATACCAGCTGACCGCGAGCCACACAAGGGTGAACTGCGCCATGTGAATATCGATCCATCTGGCGCCAATGCTCGGCTGTGCAGCCCGGTCCCAGGTGCGTGGTTGCAGTCGAGAGACATCAGGCGACTGACCCACGCACTTGAAGTCAGCGTCCGCTGTTGTTCAAGTGATGCGGTAGGCACCGACACCCCAAAGCTGTTACCACAAACCCACTGTGTTGGCCCCTGATCTGCCCCAACGTCACCGCGAAGTGACGAGCTTTATCCGAGTTTCCAAACCTTGCCTGTAGATGCCTGAGCACGGGCCGCATGTAGAGCAGCCGCCTCTTGTGCTCGTGCAATGCAAACTCGGCGCGCTGCTGCAGAGACCAAAAGTGGCGCGACAGCAGCTGGCGGGGGAACAGGTACCTGATGGTAGCGGACACGCACGAGTCAGCTGCTCGTGTGAGCGATGACAGCCGAGCGAGTGTGTCATCCGAACGCTGATAGCCGAGGGTGTCCCCCCGAGCGCTGACAGCCGAGTGAGTGTGTCCCCCGAGCGCCGACAACCGAGCGTGTGTGTCCCCCGAGCGCCGACAGCCAGCGGCTCCGCCACCAGCGGCGCACCAGCCGTCATTCAAGCCACTCACGCCAGGGGGAAGACGACGTTCTGTGCCAGCGGCAAGGCCGACACCAGCAGCACGGGCGCCACGGCGCGCATGTCACGCGGCGTGCGGAAGTACAGCTCCAGCTCACGCCGGCTCAGACTGCCGAGCCCGGTGCTGTGGACCTGCGGAGACCGCGTCTGGTGAGACCCGGCGACGGGGAGGGGGCTCAGGCGGACGCCGAGGGTCGGGGAGGAGAGCGGATCATCAGACAGATCGGGCCGGCAGGCCTCTGGTCGATACCAGGGATTGGCGATGAGGGCATGTCACCAGACAGGTCTGGCGGGGCGAGCTATCGAGTCGTGGTGCACGTCTGACGAGGTGCTGGTCAGCAGTCCCGGGACGGATTTGGTGGGCACGCTGGCGTGGGGCACCAGACTGGCAGTAGCGGGGGTAAAGCACGTCACTGCTCACGACTGACGCCACATCACGCCATAGCCGTCCTGCTTCGTAAGTATGGCAATCGTCTTCTGAACCGTGGATGGGCGTGCAGAAGACACATGGCTGTGTTATTTAACCCTCGCCCTGATAGAAGGGGGGTCGATGGGGAGGGGGGTCCCCCTCTCTCCCCTCCTTAGGTTTTCTGGGGATGCCTCTCCGGAATATCAGGCAATCGCGCCTAAAATTTCAGTAACCCGTGGAATATCAGTTGCACATGTTTTGACACCAAAAGCGCGCCCCTGACATCTCTGATTTCGAAGCAGCGGCGGTTTTTGATGAGTACTGAACGGCGATCTACGGCCGGCGCGGGCGGCGGGCGGCAACCGATGATGCCGCGGAACGCGCGTGGCGGCCGACATTGTTACATTAGCGGAGCCATTAATCATCAATATATGGTAAAAACACACGCCGAAAAATACATCATGATACCCGTAACTGAACGAATAACACGGCTGTTTAGGTTTTGTGTCGCTATTAGACATTATCTTGTACATATGAGCAAGCAAAGCAAAAATGTTCGACGTTCAGGAAAATATGACATTTCATCCGGCATAATGGAGTCAGTCATTGACCTAACTATATAATCTTATTCTAAGCCGCAAGATTTCGTTCAGATCAATTCACCAGAGTTTTAAAAAGTTCCATCTTTCGTAGCTTTGAAACGACAGGAGGGCCGCATCGGCCCCCACCTTAAAGTCCGCGTTAAGAAAAATGGCGAATCAGGGCGAGAGTGAAGACGCACGGCATTGGCCCACGTGAGCAACCCCAGGAGGAAGCCGCCGAAGACCAGGCCGCGCTGACCACGGGGCACACACGGCCGCCAACCAGCCATGTGGGCCGGCTGGTCTCAAGCCTGTGTCAAGCGGAACACCGCTGTAAACGTGGCCACGGTTCTGATCGCCAACCTATGCACAGTGACCTGGGTTGCGTCGCGGCGGAGCACTGACTGTTTTCGCATATGAAACGAACCTTGCGTGACAAGACAACGTGACAGAGCAACCCAGCCAGCGCCGCACGACAGTGCGCTGCGTTTAGCACTCACCTTACGCGCCAATAGCGCGAACGACTTGGCGTCCCGCACGAAGTCCCTGACGCCGACGGTGAACACGCGGTAGAGACGGAAGGCGGCGGGGAACTCGCTCTCCAGCACCTGCTGGAACTTGTGCAGGTACTGCATGTAGCGGCCGAACACGTACTTCTGGACCCGCGTCACTGGTCGGCGCCCCTCGGACTCGCCCAGGCCTCTCCCGAGCTGCACACATCTGCCGAGGCCCGAGCCACACCGTCGGCATCCCAACAGCAGATACGAGGCGAACACAAATCGCCAGCGTGGCTGTGATCCTGAAGCGCCAGCTAGGCTATAGTTGCAAATCAAACAAGGTAAAGGAAAAAAGCGATGGTTTGATATGCTTCCATTCCATGTTTTGTTTTGCTTTTTAAGCAGCCAGCTGGGCTGGCTACAGCTAGCTGAAATAGCTTCCGCCGGCCGGTTTTAACCGATCAAAACTGGCTGACAAACAGGTCTTGAAAGCATTCTTAATGCCGTGGCGTCGTCGACGAGGGTCCTGGCAGAAACGTTGTCAGTGCGCGAAGATCACTGTCCCCCTTCCTCACCCCCCCCCCCCCCCCTATCCCCGCGCTGGAACCTTGGACCAACTTTCCTTTTGGCCGCTACGATCCCAATTTATTAACGAAGTTCCCTCCCACATGCAAGGAGTCCCATCAGCACTTCAGCTGTGAGCCACCGGCACATTGTCCGGACACTCAGCGGCATCAGCGACGACCATTGCGACGGCACCTGCGACGGCCGACTTTGAAGGATCACGCTTGAACGGCGGCATCTCCGACGATCGGCTTTGGAGGGTTATATTTAAGAAAAATTAGACTGAAATGAGCACACCCTCAAAATGTGTCACCACTGCGGGTAACTGTATGACCTTCAAATCTTGGTCAGACCAAGACCTGGGGCACCGACATTTCCGACATGATCTTTTCCGAATTACTGCACTATCTGATATGAAAACCTGATGTCTTCCACAATCACTGGATCTGCCTACGCCTGCTCCCTTCAATCACTTCGAACCGAATCCTCAAAACATTTACGTCGTACGATAATTTCGAGGGAACTTTCACATTGGGGATACTGACGTGTCGACTGTTCAACGTTATGTGCACTGCTGCACTGTGTGGAGACGAAAGCACATCTGAGCACAGCAAGCACAAGGCACACGTAGACGATCTAGGCCGCATTTTCGACATCTCAAGATGTCGGAAATGCGGCCTATTCTCTCGATACCGCGGCCTTGGGGAAGCGTCCAGATCGAGGCACGCTCCTACATGTGTTGCCAATCGTCGCACTGGTCCATACGACAGACTGTGTGCCAAGGATATATTGTACTGGAATGCCAAAACCGAAATGAAAGGAAACGACACAAAACAAAGCCTAAACTCTACGTCATTTCTAATATTTATATTTCCGGCATATGGACCAAAGTTATCACGGTCCGACAGCTTTTAAAATTTATCCCGTGTGAGGATTCGCAATATACGCGAGGGGGAGGCAAAAACCAGTGCCACAGATTTTGGCATTGTTCCATGGTGATTTTCCAGAATCCAGTTCCAGATGATCTTCCACTGACAGGGTTGAAGAGTTATCAGAAGAGATCATTCAAAAAACCCTCAGGGTCCATGACCAGGCAGGCAGATTTATAGCTCCTCTCAACCTTGCAGCAAGGCACTGTCATCTTATGAATTCCCTTGGGCTTGAAAGGCTTTCATGGTTGAAAGGCTCTCATGTTCATCTGGTGCAGGAATTTGCAATGCAGGTTCAGGGCCTAAAGCTGTTCCCCACATTTTGACATCCACTTAAGGTTGAGGTATGACCATAATCTCAACAATCCATGGCACTCAACAGCACAGTCAACATCCAAACAGGTTTAGGTTTGACATCTCTAGCACCAACCACTCTGGGAAACAGCAAGACTCTTGGCTGAGGGCAAAGATTGAGCCTCATGGCATTGTGCATGTGGTCAATGGATGCACACTCTCCCAACTGAATTACATCATGTCTCCTTGATGAACAGCTCACCAATGCCTGACCCCAGGCATCACATCCTGCAGATGATCAATACCAGGGAGGGTCATGGCCATTTGAGACCTTGGGCGGCACCATGGAAGCAGCAATGATCCTATTGCTTTGGCAGTCCCACTAGGCATATTTTACCCCCTCCTATCCAGAGCATTATTTATCCTTTACATTCCACTGCTTTCCCCACAAATGTGAGTTCTGGAGGTGCCATATATATATAATATATATATATATATATATATAATATATATATATATATAATATATAAAAATATGAACAAATACAGAACAAACATACCTTCTGACTGTTATGGCTGGTGATGCCCTCACAGGACAGATGGAAAGTGGACACATACCAGCTGACATCCTAAATACAGAAGGTCTGAGGAGTGAAGAGAGCATCTGAAAAGCATTGGCATGTGTTTATCTATTTCAGGTTTGTCCATAACAGAACAACTCATTGGTGAAGGACACAAATCTCCAGGTGATAAAGCAGAGTATTGTTGATTACCATAATTAATGTCAAGGCAGATTTGAAAACAAATTTGAGTTAAGCATGGCAAATAGCATATATATATATATATATATATATATATATATATATATATATATATATATATATATATTCTGTGATATTATTATTCTGTGACAAGCAAAGAAAATAGTAAAATCTTGCACCTGCCTGTACTATCAAATACAAAGTGCCAAAAAAGGATATTATGCAGCAATAAGTTAACACACCTAGCAATATCCAAGTGATATAATACCTCATGTTACTATCTTCAGGACAGTTGGTACTCACCTCACACATCACAATGAAGTAGGTGGATAGATTAATGTTTTCTCTCTTGAAAGAAACCTTGGCTGTTGGCTTGTTAGTGTTTAGCTAGAAACAGGCAGTCAGAGGGTCAGATTGTTACCTGAAAATGAAGGAGTGTGTGTTTGAGTGGCACAGTTACCCAGGCCAAATGCTTCCAATTCAGCCACACATTGAGCTTCTCTGCAGGCTGGTAAAGATTTGGGTCTCAAGAGTAAGCTCTAATTGGTTGACATAATAATTTACACGTGGTGATGGCACCAGGCTTACGCTCTAGGTCAAGACTATTCTAAATCTGTCTATAAGTAATGATACATGCACACTGGGGTGAGGAGGCCTGTCTGCAGCATAAGTATTTGCCTTTCTGTCCCAACAAAAATATAATTAATGAATCACTGTCACATTCACTGTCACTGGACGATTCACATGCAAACCAGTTTTCGCGGGGCTTGCACAGCACAGGTCCAAGACCAAAGAACGCACAGATCAAGGCGATGTACAGGGTGTGTGTGTCTTAGCGGCTTTACGACACACTCAGCTGCTGAGGCTATATGGCGTCGCCTGCCTCTCACCCTGGCAGGAAGGGCGGGCACCGCGGGGAATCGAACCCTGTGCGATGTACAGGCGAGAGTGTGTTATTGGGACTTCACGAGACACTCAGCTGCTGAGGCTATATGACGTCGCTTGCCCCTCACCCTGGCAGGAATGGCGGGCACCGCGGGGAATCGAACCTCGTACCTCTGGTTTCCCAGACGCGCGATGTACAGGCATGCTTGCCTTGCGCGCTTATTTACAAACCTTTGCGCCAGGTCACGCGTCATAAGACGCGCTACCATATCAGGTGAAACTTACTGAAAATATTTCAGGAAGCTTTTGTTTAAGTGAAGGACTTTATGTTTCCCAACTTCGCTACTAATGCGCTCTGTATACGCAGGTGGGTGTAGGCGGTGTGGGGTCGGGTTGTAGACTCAAGTTTCTTGGGTACCCTGGCATGGGGACTAGGCGCTACATGTATAGAGAATTGCCTCGCTATTATCAGGCATGGGAGGGGGGGGGGGGGGGGGGGGCGGAGCAAGGCGTTGGCAAGGCAAGACGCTCGGCGTTGCAGTCACCCCATGCTGGGCGGCGCCCGCCGCCGTAGGTAACACCAAGCCTTGGGCGGCAAGCGACACAAAATACCTTTGCGTATAGAAACAATGTTACCGAGCGCTCGTTATGCTGTCTCACGAGAATGTCCCGGTCTAAGGTCTAACATGCGGATCAGACATTGCCCGATTAATTGTCACTTGGTAGAAACTTTATGTGCTGTTGAGTATGAACTCGTTGTACAAGTATGCTGGTTAGCATTGCTTTAGACTTTCACTTCTCTTAAGGCGACTCACGTGATGCAAACAAAACCATGTATAGCATATGACCCACAATATGTTGTCTGGTGTGCAACTTAATACATACAGCAAGTTCTGCAGCCTGTACCAGCGGACGTAGAGGGGGAGGGGGAAGGTAGGGTGACCCCATGCACATTTTGCTCGTTGCCGGAGCCTTGTGTATTCGATGTACCGGCCCAAACAGCAATTGCTCATAGACTGGAAACCCAAAACGCGTGTTGGGAGAGATCGCACGGTAGCAGAAGTACCTTCGCAGCTGGAATCCACATCTTGCCGAAGCTCCAGCTCCAGCCGAAGACGTCCTCGGCAGTGCGGCGCTGCATCGCACTCCTAGTGTGGACCAGACAGGGCAAGATGGCCAGCGGTGCCTGCACTTTGCTCCGCAGCTCGCAGTGGGTGAGGTCCCAGTGGAGGCTGTGTGACTGGTCCGTGCCAGGGAATCAGTTCGGTGTACCTCACGGCCTCGAAGTTTACCACTGAGATGGCGAAGACGCTGGGCTGAAGGAAACGCTCGGTTTGCTTCTCACGTGCGGCGCGACGATCGGAACCGCCTGTTCGCGGACCATGCCTTTCTCATCCCACACCATGTCCAGCAGCAGCTGTTCCGGACGGACCCCATACCCGCTACACTGGAGGACTTGGCTGCGCTGTGGCTTATGCGTGCTGCGGCAGGTCGCGGAGCAGAGCGATACTCCGGAACAAGTTGCGTAAGCCAAAGTCGCAGCCGCTGTTTTCCGGATGGCGGACCATACCGACACATACTGGCCGACAACGCACTGGACGAGGTCCTTGAGAGCGAACTAGGAGCAGACGAGCGGCCAGTGCCAACCATCTGAAAAAAACAGAAGCGAATATATTAGAACAGTTCGCTGCGAACTTATCCTTAGCTCATGCAACAATTATTGCGCCCCTCTAGTGTATGTAATTATGCCGACACCCAGAGCCCTTAAATTTGACGGAATACATATCAACAAATATGCTAGTAAGTATGAACCAATCATCAAATGATGCGACATACTGCGGCACAAGGTATGACAATAAGTAAATGCTCAACAGTGAGCACATAAAATATCACTTGATGCTTCATGAACTTTAAACACTCATTGCTATAAAGTCGAGGATAATGCGTCTTCATAATTACCTAACACGGTTCGATGGTCCAATTCGCCGCTGGGCTGCCACGTTTCGGACAGTGCCGTTTTGAACGCCAGAGGCCATTAGTGTACAGCAGCTGCTGGTCGGTGCTCAGCTGCTGAATCAGGTCGATCGGCAGGTTTGGCACGTGCCCCGACCAAGGCTTGGATGCCACAACGTTCCTCTCCCAGGCCTCTCCGGCACAGATCTTGCCGATGGGTCAAAAAAAAAAAATTGATCCCGTGGTCGTGCCGTCCAAGCTCGGCAGCAGATGGTTGAGGCTCAGCTCATTGTCGTGCAGCTGGCAGATGAACCAGTGTACGGGTGACTCGGCGTGCACCTCAAACAGCCGGAACACGTCGCCTATCGTTGCGGTGTTGAGGGCTGTGCCACCGCAGCTGAGCACATTGATGTGACCGTCGCACTGCGGGCTCACGGAGTGTAGCTCGTTGAACAAGTGCAGGGCGCGGCCGAACTCGAACGCGAAATGAGTCACGTAGCAACTGCCTGGCTCAGTGATGGCAGCCACACGTTTTTCGACAGCATTCGTCTGGGTCCGTGTGGCTCATGTAGCTCCTGCCTTCGCGTCCGTCGGAGTAGAGGATGGTCAAACCTGACTCGTGGATTGCTTCAAAATTTTAATGAACCGTTTCCTTTTTCGTTCTGTCTCTTGCGAAGCAGATCTTCTTGGGATCTACGATATTTGATTTCAAGTAGCCGGTCCATCTCTGCTGCCTTGTTGAAAGGCGTTGATGATAGCAGCAGCGGTCCCTGTTCGAGCCACCGTAGCTGCCAACTACCTGAGAGGTGTTAGTCAGATCATTGACGTTATAATATACAGTGACAGTGGTCTCAACCGGAACGAACACTCGCGTCGTCGCCGCCTTCTACCATGTACGGAACCGTGTAAGAATCCGTGCTCTCGACTGACTCAGCCAGCGCTGAGACCACTTGGTCGCGGAGCAGGCTCGGGGTCAGCACTAGCAGCCAGCGCTGGCTCAGCAGGCGGCTTCGGTCCAGCAGTCGGCGGGGAGGGCGATTCAGGTTCAGCAGCAGACCCGCCTCACTTGCGGTCGAGCCACGACGCCCCTGGAGTTGCCTGGTCATCCTCCGCATCTCGCGAGCCTCCCTAGCCATAGCCGTATCCCGGTCATATGACCCCAGGGTAAGCTTCCGGTGCCTGCGCTGGTCCTTCATGGTAACCTCCTCCTGATACACTGTGCGAGGGCACTGGGGCATGGAAAGCTGCGCTGAGGCTTGTACTTACATTTCGCGACATCAAGGAGCTTGTTGAATTTCGTGGTGGGCGCGTTGCTGGTGTCACTCTCTTTCTTCTTTGGATCTCTTCTGAGAGCTCTGTTGGGATGATATCAATCGCTCTCGATCAGCTTTGTCACGTATTTTAGACCATGAACAGGTATCGCTTCGTTGGTCCACAGTACCCTGATTTCTACCGTCGCGGTCTTGAAGATGGCGTTAGTGAGATTCCTCTTCGAGCCACCTGATGTAGCTCAATGCTTTCCCGAAGTCGGCAGTTGTTGGTGGAACGGAAGAACCGAGTGGCCTATCACAAAATAATTACTGCGCGAACGTATAGCCTTCGGCATGCTCATGCAAGTAATTGTTCGAAAGAAATGCTTTAGTACCAGCAAGACTAATGTAGTAAAACCATATCTTCCACGCAGAAAGCACATAAATTGCAAATCAACATCACAAAGATGCGTTAGCATTAACGTACTTGGACCTAGCCCGGTCTGCTGGAGTATTTTCATAACTTTACAGCTTCGGGTCTTACCAAAAATTATTATTTTTACTAAAAAGTCAGCTTATAAGCTGTTTGGCAATATTTTGCTGGTGCTCTCCATGATATATATTCCATACTTAATCCAACAACTACCAGAAGTATGGAAAGTGGCAGCTTTGAAGCTTGTTGGAGGATGATCTCAGTGCGTAAAATAGGTGGCGCTAGTATCGAATACGGCTCTCTTGGCCTATCAAAGAAAAACTGCTTCTGCCTCACGAATATCAACATTGGTGCGATGCGACAGACCTCAAAATTTATCATCAATCCGTGTGCCAAGGAGAAACATTGTCTCAGCTGATTCCAAGAGATTCACCCCCTCGATAACACACCCTACTGTTCAAGCAAGAAACGTGCGTCTCCTGGCAGCAATTCTTTCCACTAATAAGCGCTTTTTTCTCGGTGGGCCTCCAGTGCCAGGGTGCTGTATACCAGTGTAATTAGAGGCAGGCCTTCGTGCCGCGGCGATGCTGCGTATTTGGGTGAAAGACCCTGGCTTGTGCTGCTATATATGTGGTCGTTTCGCTCCAAAACCAAGGACGTGCGCAAAATCATATTTGTTCTATGTTTGAAATTCACAGGCATGAAGTCCGAACGTCCTGCCTGGTAGATAGCTTGGGTATGCCATTGCTGCCCTGTCGAATGTAACACTGTGGGAGCATTATCAGCAATGCCTATGTTGGCTCCCATTTCTCACAGATGATAACTCGAAAAATGACGACGAAAAATACGCACACACGTGTGAATACAGTGCCCCTACAAATGACAGCATATAGCATCATATACATATAGGCCGATGACTTAAAGTTGTATTTTGGGCGTCATGTGCAGGGTGCGTACTGGCCAACAACATCATGGCATCCGAAAGGAGCGTGCCGGCCGCGTGAGCCTCTCGTAAGGGAGACTCACGGGAGACTTCCTTGCACTCCCACACACAGTTTCCTGACAAGCATTACGATTATGATCACGCAAATAAATAGCAGGCAGCTTTGAACGTTCCATAACAATTACAACGGACTGCAACCAGCATGTATTGAACCACAAGCGGCTCAGAATTAATGCTGACAGGTTATACACAATTATCCTAGGCTGATTTAGTGACCAGTATTTGGGCGTTCCGCAGTCACATTCTACAATCTTAACTGCAACGACAATGACAATCGCATCAAGTACCCTCGCTGCGTGCACGACTCTCTATCTATTTAGGCGAGCCAGTGATCTCTTCGGTGATCTGAACATCTCAACATACAGTCGGCCCAGACGCCCATTTGCTGCCATTCTGACTAGCTCCCACCTCCCCCCCCACCCCGCTCCATCGTTGTGACTCCCCTAATATCATCTTCATCCACATCACCACCACTGAGCATCATTCCCTCTCGGCGGTGGCGCTGCGTGTCAGGGACACGTTTGGCTCCAGAGGCCCGGCATGATCGCTGCTGGAACGCCTCCGGCTTGTTCACCAGCCAGCCCAACACCTCTGCCAGCACCATCGACAGCTCAGGCACCACCGGCCTCCTCCAGCCTCTCTTCCGGCGCCACCCCAGCTGCCTCTGCCGAGCTCCGTCTCTCCCCCGGGCCGGCCGTTGCCCTCCTCCGCGCGCCGACGCTCCGCCGTCCCGGCCGTTGCCGCGGCGCGCTTCTTCGCCGTGCAGTCGGCAAAAGCAGGCAATGCAGCAGATCAGACAGCAGAGACGGGAAAGCTAGGCAGGCAGACGATGGCGAGCATCACCTTGCAGCAGCAGCTCCTGCTGTCCCAGCGTTTCGTCGCCTGACCCGGCTCCACCCCGAGGGCCTGCAACAGCGCATTCGGGTCGAACGGTGTCGCGCGACCCGTCTGGGGCGGCGGCGGCGTTTTGTCGTTCGCCATGGCGGCCCGCGGCTGGGCGGGCGTCCCGCTGGGAGGTGATGCTTTCGAGCACTGGGTCGGTGCGTCAGGCTCGGCCTGACTTGCCCTCGCGAAGCCACTGATCGAGTTCGGGGGCAGATAGACGGATCTCCTGCAGCTCAGTCCAGCCTGTCGTAAGATGACCGAACCTTCCGACTCAGCCACCGAGTTCACACTGCCAGGACCTGCCGCGCGATCGCACAGCGCCAGCACCGTAGGCTGACTGCGGCCTCCAGCGCGTCTCAGGTCTTGGTACTTTCACATTTCAGTCCGGCACGTCTCGATGACGTCACGTCCGAACGCACATCCACAGTGTGTCCCACTTTGCTCGCACCTGCCCCGCGGCGGGGCGACATTGGGGTCGGGCTGGCGGCATCATGCACCGTCATAGCCTATCACCGATCACCAGTGACGCGGCAAGCGAATGGCGGTGGTTGTTTCGCGCGCATGCATTCATGGCAAACGGCTGATCTCTCGGTCGATAGGCAATGACTTGTTCGTATGCGGTCGTTCGATAGGCATAGGTCTGTTCGCGCGCGGTCGTTCAACAGGCAACGGTTTGTTCGTGCGCAGTCGTTCGATAGGCAATAGTTTGTTCGTGCGCGGTTTGAGAACCGCACTTGGGTGGGTGGACCAGCGGGCCAGCGCCAATGTACTGGCATGGCGGGTCAGCATTCCTGTCCGCTCTTGAGTGTTAAACGTTTGCTGGCTGCCTCAAGTCAATAAGTAATAACAATACAAAGCAATAAATCGGCTCTAATTGTGTGTTGTAAACACGACCAGATGACCCGGGGTTGTGACAATGCTCTGCGAAAGCCCCGGAGCTTTATGAAAGAGCCTGACTGAGATGCCGGGCGTTGCGCAATGGATTACAGGATAGGCGAGGCGAGTGGTCCCGTTTGGTGGTGGTGGGGTGAGAGGACGGGAAGGGCGCAGTTAAGGAGAGAGAGAGAGAGAGAGGAGAGAGAGAGAGAGAGAGAGAGAGAGAGAGAGAGAGAGAGAGAGAGAGAGAGAGAGAGAGAGAGAGAGAGAGGAGAGCTCTCTCATCTCTCTCTCTCTCTCCTTTCTCCTCTCTCTCTCCTCTCTCGCCTCTCTCTCCTCCTCTTCTCTTCCCGCTCTCTCCAACCACTCCCCCCTCTCTCTTCTTCTCTCTCTCCTCTCTCTACTCTCGTAGCTCTGAGACTGACCTGGCGGAATCTTAGATCCAGCATCTTATGATGCTCGCCAAGACAACGCATTGAGCAAGTAATTTGATTTTTTACGCAGTAGATGTTGGAATATACCTAGCCGGTACGCGACAAGCTGGCTCGATTCTCGACTGCTTTTCCTTCCAATAGCACAACTGCTTCAAGTACCACACGTTTTCCGCTTTATTCACCTGCGTTGCCAACTGGAAGTTGGGGTGTGTCAATAATGCGCTGGAACGCGGCGCACATGAGTCGTTTTCAGAACAGTCCTACCGTTTCTAACCTGCCTTCTGCAGCTAGTGATACGACACAAGGTACCCGGGGAAGCTGGGATCATGAGTTCATTACAGCGGCTGCTTTTCCCGGTGCCATCCATTACGCGTGCCAAGGCAGAAGGATGCCCGGGTTACCTTGCGGCCGTTTTGGGCCCACAAGTGACCCGAGCCCGTGTTGGTGGCCTTAGAGAAACGCCGGCGCAAAGTCGCGCAGGAGGGCGTGTTTATTTACAGCATCTCGTCCTGCTGCTTCGTTGACAGGCTATTTAACCCCATAGGACATGAGTCAGAAAGGTAACTTACCGCTGTTTGCTTTTGTTTTTCTTTGCCAACGGCAGTCTAATCAGTAGCCACCCATCACTGCGAGATTACATGATATCAGAAGCCAACCATTCAAGCTCGTCGATGGCACGGTGAATGTCGTACAACCGGCATCTTATGTATGATACCGGATGTTAAAATCGTACGGCATGCCACCATCACCTGGCAAGGTATTCGTTGACTGCAGCGGCCTGGTCGAGACCTTTCTGACACGCTATATACTGGCCGAGATCTCTGGTCGTAAAGCCGTCCTGCAAAAGATTGGGTCGTGTTTTTTTTAGAATACAGAGTGGTAACCATGAGAAATGATGTTTTACAGGGAACGGATATCCCAGAAATCCTTGATGCCGAAAAGGCAACAGAAAGCTGTGATGGTTTCATGTGAGGACAGAAAACTGACCACAGACTGCATTCTGATGGAGCCGGTGTCTACGCTAAGCAGAATTGCCTACCAGCGCGTGCCACCCTCAGGATTCCAGACATTCGAGATATCCGTAGATATTCAAGTCCAACAGTACCCGTCAAATGCTGCAGACTAGTTTTCTTTATGAGAGTGGCGTTGTTAGCCAAAGCTTCGGTTGAACATGTGTGCTGCGCCCGGTCACCCAGTGCGCACCCACGGCGGCGCGTACTTTACACATACCTGTGCGGTACCCTGTTTCGAAATGTCCGACGAGAACGCAGCATAGAACTCTGGCACATTGCCAGACAGGCGCACTACTTACGCTGGGCTGGCCCTGCGCCTTGGTCGCCCTCATTTCCCTGCATTGCATCTTTTGTTTACTCATCGATTCTCCGTTTAGATGCGTGGTTCCAGGGAAAGCTCTTACATTAGCGCAGCATGCCATCATTTGGACTCCGTTTTCGGACCAAGCCAGATAAACACACGTAATACGCTGAGCTGTTTGCTGTCTGCTTCTGTCCCGCGCGCGATTCGAAACAGGTCTTAAACTCCAACTGGCAAACACTCCCAAACGGCCTTAAACTAATTACGTTTGAGGGAGTTTTATAAAAATGGTGTGTGCGGAGTCGAAATACATTGGACCCGAAGACAAAGCTGTGGTAGGTAATGTTCTGAAGCCCGTGGCATGCTCTCGCGATGCTTTTAGTGCATTTCCTTCAACCATGAGTCTTAAATTTGGCTGTTGGTGTCAGCTGTTTCCGTCCATCGCTTGCTCAGCTCTCACGGCGGGTATGTGAGGCACCACTGAGCGCTCTGCTCGCCGAAGCTCGGCGCCGCCCCGTCTGGCGCTGAGCTGCGGCCGAGGTCCGCCTGCCTAGGCAAACCTGCCGAGTTCCGCCTGTTGAGGTCCTCCTGCCGAGGTCCGCTGGCTGAGATCCACCTGCCGAGCTGCCCGTCGGCTGAGGTCCGCCTGCTGTGGTCCGCCTGACGAGGTCCGCCTGCTGAGGTCCGCCTGCTGTGGTCCGCCTACCGAGCTGCCCGCCGGCTGAGGTCCGCCGCCGAGGTCCGCCTCCCGAGGTCCGCCTGCCGAGGTTCGCCCGCCGGGGCCCGCCTGCCGAGCTGCCAGTCGGACGGGGTCCGCCTACGGAGGTCCGTCTACTGAGCTGTCCGCCGACTGAGGTCCGCCTGCCGAGGTTCTCCGGCTGAGGTCTGCCCGCCGAGGTCCTCAGGCTGAGGTCCGCCCGCCGAGGTCCGCCTGCCGAGCTGCCCGCCTGCCGAATACAACCGGAGCGCCGGCGCTCTGGTCCCTCGCTGAGGGGCGCAGTTGCGTCAGGCCCGGCCGGCTGTTTCTTTCTCCCCATCCCCTCCTCCACTCTCTCTCTCACACACACTCTTCCTCTGCCACTCTTTCTCCCCCTCTTTCTCGCTCTTCATCTGCCCCTCTTTCCCACTCCGTCATTATTTAGCCCACTCCCTCCCTTGCATTCAGAGTCCCGTGGCGCACTTTCACCATTTTTCAACGGGCGTTCGAGTCAGCCCCACCTCCGAGATGCGCGTGTCGCGTCGCCGCCTTGGAGGAACGCCATGAAGTTTTGCTGCCACGCACTTTCACCGGTGAGCGGTGCCTCGCCGGCCCGGGCCCGGGCCGCGCCGGCCGGACGCCAGCTGGCGCGCGGGCGCGTGAGAGGTAGAGCGGTCTCCGGCTACGGGCCGTCACCTGGCCCGACGAGAGTGGCGGAGTGTTCGCCCGCAGAGCCGGCGAGACGGCCCCGCTGCGCCCTCCCTCTCTCCTCAGCTTTGTTTTGAGCCCCAATGCGTATGGAACTAATGGTCCCGGCCTTCCCGCTTTCACCGCCGTTGTCTTCGCGCCTCCACCGTCGAATCCAAGGGCGTATTCACACAGTTGCCCCCCCCCCCCCCCCTCTTATCGGGCTTAGCACATGTATTGATGCTTGAGCGAAGACCTGTTGGCACTTACAAATTTGAGGAAGACGTGTTCGAAAGAAGTAGGTCAGGAACACGCCATGCCGTTTTAGACCATGAAATAAATTTCGCGCGCCCACGGCACCCTAAACCAGATTTTCAGTGAAAGCCTTGAATTGTGCCTTTCCCATCGTGAACTGCTACATAACCCTACTTGAGCCATGACATCATTCAAGGTGAACTAATTATAGTCTGGCATGCTTTGCTTCGAACATTTTTTTTTATAACAGTTGGTATACTTTACACCTCGGTAAACACAGGCTTCCCTGGATCAATAAACCGAAGAGCAAAAAAGCTACAACCGGTGAGGTGACCCGCCCAGCCCTTGACCTGACCTTGACCTATGCCATTTGTTGACTTCGCGGTATGGGTATGAAGTACAAGACCGCGCTCTTTCATTTTGTCCTTGCCATGTAGTGTCCGTGTTGCCGACCGACGCGCCATACCAGCCGTGGGGCACGCAGACACCAACAGGCCCAGTCAATGTATCGCGGCTCAGCGGTACTACTCCCACTCTCTTTGTCTACCACACGGAGTGGGAGTGCGGTTCCAGTGTTTTCGTTTAGCGCTCGCCGTATAGCAGCTTCGGTACAGCGCGTCACAAATAGAAATATATCCTCGTTTGACATGCGTCTTGGTCACGAATACACGTCTGACCGAGTAGTGTTAATCTGAATACTAACGGCGCCGATCGCTTACCAGCTCATTACCCTCTACTCGCGCACGCCAAATGTTCGA